TTTATCACTCATTTCACTTGCTTATTGCCTATATCCCTTCCTTACCTTATTTATTACCTCTTATATCACTTATTCCTTATTTATTTATTTTTATTAGTCCTCTCTTACTTATCACTTATTTGTTATCATATCAACTATACTTATTATCACTTCCTTACTCCCCATCCCTTAGCTACGCACTTATTCCTAGTTAGTCTTCCTTCACTTATGTAGTCTTCTCTTACTTATTATTACCCATATCCTTATCTCCTCTCTTATTTCTCCTAGTCTCATTCTTATTCCTTATTATTCCTTTTACTACTTACTCACTCTTATCATCTATCACTTTATATTCAATATCACTTATTTCTATTCTTTATCACCTACTCCTATTATCATATTCACCATCACCCCCCTTACTTAGTCACCTTAGCTAGTAGCTAACTATTGTATATTCTTAGTTGCCTTCCCTATCTTTACTTATCACGTACTCTACTATATTCATTCCTTATCACTTATTAATCCCTTCCTCCTACTCCCTTCATCTACCTCTACGTCATCTCCTACTCACCAATACTGTTTTTTCTCTCACTTATTTACTTACTTATAGTTCATATCTTTCCTCACTATTCACTACCTTATCATCTCTTACTTATTACTATCTAGCTTCTATTCGTCTGTCTTCACATATTACTAACTTATTCTTTATTCCTTATTATTCCTTACTTAGTCTTTTTTCCCTATCCACTAACTACCTTCTAATCTACTAACTAGATTCCTCTCTTCCATCTTCAATATCTCTTACCTCAACTTATTTACTCCCCTTACCTAGTCTTATTATTAGTCTTTACTTATATTCCTTATTCCTTACTCTTCTCTACTCCCTTTTGTCATATCTACTCTACTTCTATCAATCACTGTCCCTTCCTCCTAACTACATATTACCTTCTATTAGCCTGTCTTCTTATCTTTCCTTACTTATCTTCTATCACCTAGTCTCTTTACTTGTTTACTTAGTCTTCCCCATACCTTACCATTAGTTAGTCCTTACTAAATAGGTCCTACTTACTCAATAAGCCCTTTCTTACCAATCTGCCTTGCTTCCTTTTCTTAATGTCTTTCACCTAGCTTCTATTCTGTCCTCATCTATCACTTTCTTATATTACTACCCCTTACTCTTCATCATCCATCTTCTTATTCACCACTAACCACAATCCCATATCCTCTATCCATACTTCTATCTCCCCCACTCCCTTCCTACTCCTCATCCTTCTAACAAAAAATATACCACCTAAAAGTAATGTCCCTGCTTCTCATATAGTATCTTCTCACATAATTCCTCATGTCGTCTTTCATGTGTCACGATCTAATCCTAAAAGGGAACTCCCAATCCGATCGTATCTTTCTCTGCCCTTTTAAAACTCAAAATTTCTAGGGTGCTCCATGGCAAAATCTGGTACACAACAGAACAATAGTATAATCCCGTCGTAACTGCCTTACTCTAATTAACTCCACTTCTCCCAACTATTCTTCCTCCTTCCTATATCTTACAATACCTCCCTTGCTTTCTAATTATTACTTGATATCCTCCTTTCTGCTACTTACTTATATCCATATCCTCCTTCTATCTTTGTTTCTATCTTCTTCCACAATATCTTCTCCATCCCCCTCTCTGGTACTCGCAAGCCACACGTCTCGTTCGTCCGGTATCTTCTCTCTGGCCACCTCTGTGGAACATTCGCTCCGCTTCTGCGGAAATTTCCACCGGCCGGAAGTCCTGCAACCACTCTCGCTGCTGCTTTCCCAGCTTTCACCCCTAAAATTTTTCTAAATAATTTTTACTAAATTTCTACTTTCCCCTGTCATTCCTCTCATCCCTCCTGATCTCTCTCCCCTGTCAATCCCTCTTCTATTCCTATCCTCTTCCCTCACTACTTACTCTTACTTATTTTCTACTATCCATCATTCTTCTACTTCAATCTCTATATCTACCACCAGGCCCCCACTGCCTTTCTACTAGCTATTGTCTCTTTACTCACTGTTATATTATTTTACTATTCCTTACTCTCTTACTCATTATCTCCCTGTTGCTATATCTTTTACTTCATCTCCTCCCTATCATAAATAACTAACCTAGCTAGGTTCTTAATCCCTCACTATTCTAATCCGTCTGTCTTTAGTCCTATCATTACTTACTCCTCACCTATTACTAACCACAATATATCCCCTCTATCGTCTATGCATCTATATCAACCTCTATCGCCTTCTTACTACCTATCCTCCTTACTACCCCACCTCTCTTGTTATCTCTTCCTTGCTTACCCCTACTAGTAGCTAAGAATATCGTATGTATCTATCACTTACCGTCTTCCATATCATCACATTCAATAAACTGCTGATATCTTGTGGCTTGTTCTAAATTCCTTGCGTATGCCAGCAATCTGTCCTTTGACCGCTCCGCAGTACATCCTAGGCACAAATGCCCATCTTCTGCCGTATTAATTTGAGACATTTCTCATAACTTGGTGTTGCTGTTGACTTAACCATCAGCATCTAAATGCTCTCTTGCAATGTCCCATGGTAGACCCACGGGCTTTCTGACCAAAGCTACTGAAACATTTGCACACTGCCCCTGTGGTTCTTTAAAGGAAGCATGCCTGGCAACAGGGAAACTGCAATACATTGTGTCTTTGCAATTTCATCTGCACTGGCCAACTCAACAGTGCACTCTGGCTGTAGTTAACAGCACTAGCAGTAAAGACTACTTCCTTTAAATTTGAACCAACCACCCATTGGTCTGAAAACTGCTTTCCAAATAAATTCTGCTAAATACTCCTTATGGATGGAATGGGGTTTGTCGAAGAAGCAGAAAACTTGACACACACCGAGAATGAAGCACTTGCATACAAGTCTACAGCAATTCCCACAGTAGACCTCTTCTTCATCATTGGGGCAAGCAGAGGGATGGACATAACACCTCTGTTTGCAAAGTCATTTGAGTACTGCAGAGAGGACTCTGTGCGGATTGCGCTCTGGGCAAGAGACATCAGAGGAGGCGCAGGAGAGAGAAAGCTGTTCAGAGACGTGCTGGAGTATGTTGAGCAGAAGGACCTCGGGCTGTTCAAAAGGATGGCCGCCAAGGTGCCCGTTGTTGGACGGTGGGACGACATGCTTGTGGCAAAGACCGACGAAGGATTTGAGCACGTCTCGGAGCTAGTTAGGAAGGGAATCGAGGAGGAGGCGGGAAGAGGCGACAGATCGCTAGCAGCAAAGTGGATGCCGAGGGAAGGAGATGTTGCAAAGCGACTGAGAGAGAGGTGGGGCCTGGCGCCGAAGCAGTACAGGAAGTATCTGGTGGAGCACACCAAGGTGGTGGAGTCCGACATGTGCGAGAGGAGGTGGGAGGAAATAGAGTTTGAGGAGGTTCCTTCTCTTGCACTTGCCAGATACACAGCAGCCTTCAAGAGACACTCTGCAGAGAGGTTTGGTGGGTTTATAGAAAAGGTGAAGTCGGGCGAAGTCAGGATCAATGCAGAGGCTGTTTATCCCTACGACGTGCTCAAGACACTGAAGATGCAGGGGGAGGAGGTTGCAGAGGAGCAGTGGAAGGCACTTGCAGACTACACGAAGGGCCAGGCCATTCTTCCAATGGTTGATGTGTCTGGATCCATGGGATCTGCAGTTGGGGGAAGCCACTCTCTCACATGCATGGACGTTGCTGTTGCGCTTGGGCTGTACATCTCCACAAAGCAGAAGGGACCATTCAGGGACCTCATGCTCACGCTCCACTCAAACCCCGAGTTTGTTAGCACTAAGGACAAGGGAACTCTCAAGGAGAAAGTAGACGCCGTGATGAGAATGCC